AAAGAAACACTTTAGAAATATTAGAAATTGCATTTATCGGGGCTCACTGCATTTATAAAATAATCAAAATTTCAAACTAAATGTAACCTTGGATATCACACACACACACACACATACAGTATATATGTGTGTGTGTGTGTGTGTGTGTGTTTATGTATATGTATAATTTTGCAAGTGTGCGAACCTACAACCTCATGGCCAAAAGTATTCTGCCTTAGCCAGCTACATTAACTGGCTTTAGGCTTCGCTTGCTTTAGAAAGAGTCATTCATATTCTCATGTTCATATATATTATGAAGGCCTGGTCGAGCGCTGATGGGTTGGCGATGGGGATTAGTGTCCCGTCAACAAGGCCAATTACTCACGGGACACCCGCAATGGCATGGAAGCCTTGATGTGCCTCCATCACTACGTGCCTGGCCATACGTAGGCTATATAATTGGTGGCGTGACGGAGTAAGATGTAGTGAACACACCGCCACACCGATGTCTTATTCAGCCCATATCCATCCCCAAACACCTCCAGAAAAATCCCACAGCATAAAAACGGAGAGCTGCCAGCAGCTGAATTTCAGGGCTTAGGGGGTAGCTCCGTCAAGTTTGTCTCTACAAAGTTTGACCAACAAGATGTAAAAGCTGCTGAATTTGCTCCCGTGGCAGGCGACATTTTTGTAGAATTGTATCTTTTGACATGGCAGCTATTCTGACACTATTATGAAATAGTGCACATACACTAACTGGCTCCGCGGACGCAGCCATCTTTGATTTAGGACACCTATTCACTGTCTCGTTGCCATAGTTTGACCAAACTCCCCATCACATTCATTCCCTTTAAATAGACTCCTAATTATGTGCTGCCTAATATTTTGCCAGCCGATGTGCCTTTGTATATTATAAAGGAAAAACTAACAACCATCAGTATAATGACAGTTTTATTCTTTGCATAAAAACACTTCAATTTATTGAACACTAATTGAACACTGGGTGTATTACAACTTTAGAATTGTAATATTTATTTGGTTCTGCACTTTTTCTTGCCACAGAATTACAATCGTATCGACTGAAATGTGAAGAAGGTTTTTGCACAGCGGTGGTCACTAGCGGAGTGAACTGTGAACAGTGATAAGGTATAGCTAAGAGTGGTCCAGACTAACCTTACGAGCAAATGACTTATGGAAGGTATACTTAACTAAGAACGTTTCGGGAAACACGTATTAACGTAACGGTACAACTTAAGGTATAACTTACGAACGACGTAGCGTTAAGACGGTTTCGGGAAACGCAGCCCAGATCACTGAAATCAAAGTTCAGTATTATAGTGTAAGAATGGCAACATATCCACGTGTTCTAGTCTATTAAAATGAAACAATTCTAATCAAAAACACTTTTAAAAAGGAGTATTTACCCGAAATGTTATTTACCAGAATTTATTTAGGAAAAAAATTTAAATGTGCAGTACTGTGCACAAACAAAACTGTGGACATCAAAACGTGTAAACTCAGAGTGAGTATTTGAGCTTTTACTTTGAAACCGCGATGTATTCTCCTGAGTTTATAAATGATTTATCTTACAAATCTGATGAAATGGCGCACGTTGCGTTCCCAGATGAACGTTATAATAAACCCAAACTCACAACAACATGCAGAGATGGAGTTTGAGACCCTCCACACACGTGTAAATGATTGTGACGCATGTACTTAACCTACACGCATGTAAATAATTAAAGCTCATATACTGTATTAGAACGGCATTGCATATAATTAATTACATCGTAGCGTTTGTGAATTCACAATTATGCTTAATTATGATATTTAAATGGGTTTAATATATCATGCAGCCTTGGGAAACAGTCTAATAATGTGTTTTATGGATTCTCGTCCTTGAAATGCGCCACTTCCGGTATTTTGCCAGGTAGTCGACACGAGCAAAATGAAGTCGAGGATTTTAAAGAATCGAATAGTCGAATAAAATCGACGAATCGCGACAGCCCTACCTGGTTTAGATCTTATTTCTCTGGGCACACTCAGTTTGTCCAGCTTAAAATTTCAGATCATACTCTTCATCTGTCACCACTGGTGTTCCTCAAGGCTCTGTCTTGGTTTTCGTTGCTTTGCAGACGACACCCAGCTCTATTTGTCCTCCAAGCCAAATTCTACCCTTCCTCCTCCTGCCCTTTTGGACTGTCTACAAAAGATCAAATCCTGGTTTTCGCACAATTTCCTCAAGCTAAATGCTGATAAACTGAGGTCCTTCTCATTGACACTAAATCCAATCAGGCAAAATACAACAGCTTTTCACTTTCTATTGATAATTCTATAATCTCCCCATCTTCTCAGGTAAAGAGACTGGGTGTCATCCTTAGTCCGTTGAAACTCATGTGAACAATGTTACTTGGTCTGCATATTGCCACTTGCGAATCATCAGCCGTCTTCGTTCATTTCTCACACGCAATACCACAGCCATTCCTGTACACGCTCTAGTTACTTTGCTCATTGATTATTGTAATTCTTTCTTATTTGGGTCACCTCACAAACTTCTTCATAAACTTAAGTTGGTCCAGAACTCAGCTGCCCATATAATTACTAGAACCTCCACCATTGAGCATATCTCTCCTGTTCTTTATCATTAACACTGGCTTCCTGTTAAAGGGGAGGTCTAATGCTATTTCATGCATTCTGATTTATTTACACTGTTAAAGAGTTGGATTCTCATGCTAAACATGGCCAAAGTTTATAAAGAACGAGTTGGAAGTATGATGGAGTATTTCTGTGCCAAACACACTCTTTCAGGGTTCGTATAAGTTTCGGAAAGCTTTTTTCGAGTATGGCCTTGTATGACATTATAAAGGGCAGCATTTCTTGTATGGGCACTTCTTCCAGAAAGGCGCTCACACACATCAACCAGAGCGAGAGCAGCCCATCAACGTGCTTCATTTGGCTTACAGAAGTCATCAGCAGCGCTGCACAGGACTTGCTCGAGAAGGATTTGTCATTTTGTTTTTAGACCACGAAATCAACAATGTCCCCAAAGAAGTGTTTGTGAGGGAAAGATAACCTTGATCAGCTTCCCAAAGAACCCAGTGTTAAGGGAACAGTGGATGCCGTTTGTTTCTCCGGGGAAGCAACAGAGTTGTGCAAAATGTGTTTGATTGTTCTCAGCATTTCGGTGACAAATGTTTTATAAACAAATTAAATACAATTTAAGCCAGTAAAGTTTTTGTTCCCGTTTAATTAATGTCGATAGCACAGCTTGCAGACGACCGCTTCGCTAAAAGCTTTGCGTGCTCATGACCCTTTAGCTCCACTTGTGGGCTAAATGTCCTCGCTGGCAGGAACCAAACTCCACCAAGGTGATTTATATAAGCCACTACTACTGTGTTGTCCGTTCAAATCAAAACATGGTGGTTTCAACACCTTGGAATGGAAAGCATTCAGGGCTACGAATACAGCAAGCAAGTTTAAGTGGATGATGTACATATTTATTCAGATGCAGAAGACTGATCTTCCATAGCCCAATGTGCTGCAACCCTTGCTCATTGCTCGTCACTAAGTAAGATGGGTTTGAACACCTTTGGCTAATTGCATGCAAACTGGCGTAATTCTATTGGGCCTCAGGATTAACTTCTCAGGGCACATATTGCTCCTTAAAGGAAAAGTTAATTTCTGACCCTGTTTGGGATCAGACGTATTGCATAGTCTAAAAAGGAAACAGTTTAAACAGTGGGTCTATTTCACTTAGCATGTGTATGCACAAATTTGTGCGTGGAAGCTGTGTACAAACATTTTCACGAACAAATCATGATTCACTAAAAACGTTCATACTAAAATTTATTCCAAAATAAATGCAAAAAGCACATACATAAGTTTATCTGCCAGTTCCATGTTTTATATGGTTGTGGTTTGGTTTAGTGGTAGGCTTACTGACTGTGTTGGTTATAAAACGCTGTATAGCAGCAGAGCTCTTGGACATGCAGCAGTATTGGACACTTTAAGAGTGAAAACAGGGTTGCTTGTAATGCTGTCCTGTTTTAAGGATTATAGTGCATTCAAACACACTGTTTAGATGCTCGAGTGGCTTCATGAGCACTAGGAGGAGGTCAAAGCATTCTGGAGCACTGAACTCCACATTATCTCTCAAAGACCTTGAGGCTGTTAAGCATGAGCAGTGCAGCAGTGTGCCATTACATGCACACCAAGAAGCGCTGAAAATATGCTAAAGGCAAAGAATGTTTCTGATCCTTATTTGGTGTCTGATATTAACACATTTTTATATTCTTTCCTCCTGTGTTTCTAAAACAAGCTAAACACATTAAACGGTGATGGACATACCCACCTACACCTCTATATGTTTTTTTGAGAACATACAGAGTATTATCAATTTCTTCTTTGCCATGTTTTCAGTTGGCATATGTTAAACATATTTCATATCAATGATTTTTGTTCATTTTTTTGAGATTACTTCAAAATCCAGCCTCTCAAAGTCAGCTAATACATTTCCTGAGTGAGACGGAATAACAAGTGGACAACAATTAAAGAAGTAGTTCACCCAAAAATTTAAATTAACCCATGATTTACTCACCCTCAACCCATCCGAGGTGTATATGACTTTTTTCTTTCAGACAAATCCAATCAGAGTTATATTAAAAATTGTCCTGGCTCTTCCAAGCTTTATAATGGCAGTGAATTTTTATTTTCAATAGTCCAAAATAAGTCCAATAAAGCGCATCCATCCATCATAAAAAGTGCCCCACAAGGCTCCGGCTTTTTATGATGGATGGATGCACTTTATTGGACTTCTTCTGGACCATTGAAAAAAAAACTGCCATTATAAAGTTAAATTAAACTTTGTATAAGTCGATTTATATCTTTATGGTGAATTATTTGTGTATTTGAAATCAACTCACTGTTTTTATGTTTGTATTACAACTATACCCTTTGCCTGCAAGTAGGCTAGCTGTTTTTGTGTATGTAGAGCAGTGATGAGTAAAATCTGTGATATGCAGTTTCCTCTCATGACAGCCGTGACATTCTGCACACTGTGCTCCACATTGGTGATTTTGTGACGTGTGCTCTGGAGTCTGTGGCCTTGCAACAAAGTTCAGCTCAAGCACTGGATCCCATGTCTGGCCTAATGCAGCTTTAATTGACTTATTGATCATAAGCTTCCAGCCTACAGTCAATAACCTGCTTTGAAGCAGACCGTCTCCTTCTACCCTTGTCCCTCAATGAAGCACATGATGCTCTGGTTGTATATTCAATTCAGTTCCAAGTTTATTTGTACAGCGCTTTTTACCATACAAATCGTTGCAAAGCAACTTTACAGAAAATTAAGTTTCTGCAATATTTAGTAGTAGCTTATCAGTAGTGACTGTCAGTTTATGTACATATGGCAGAAATGTACGGAAAAATCAATTAAAGACGTAATCAAACAGACGATGAACATTTATTAACAGCAATTATTATGTGATGGTCTGACACAGAATAGCGTACGCTGCTTGTTTACAGTGGATATTCTCCAAAATGGTACTACGGTGATGCGGAGAGACACGGACGAGACGAATTGTTGAATAAAGTCGTTATTTTTGTTTTCTTCGCATACAAAAAGTATTCTCGTCACTTCATAACGTTACGGTTGAACTACTGATGGCAGATGGACTATTCTGATGATGTCTTTCATACTTTTCTGGACCTTGACAGTGTAATTTACCTGGCAGTCAATGGGACAGTCACAAGCCTCCTGGTTTTCATCCAAAATATCTTAAATTGTGTTCCAAAGAAGAACGATGCTTTTACGGGTTTGGAACGATATGGGGGTAAGTGATTAATGACAAACTTTTCATTTTGGGGTGGAGTATCCCTTTAAGACTTGTATTCTAAATTTCCTGGTTTGTGCCTGATGAAGACCTGATGGTCAAACCATTTTATCATCAAAGCATTGTGTTACTTGGACTTATGAGGAACTTCCAAAGGTGTAATGGTATTTAGTTAATGATATTATTGATAATTTATTTTTTCTGTCCCCTAACTCTAAATATAAGCCTCAGAAAACATTTTGCATTTTTACAGTTACTTAACTTTTATGTTTATTTGTCCATTTGAATCATAGGAACAGTTGTTTAGGGATGTCCTCATTATGCAGGTACACAGACCTGACACCTGAATGCAGACAACATTATGAGAACACAAGCCAAACCCTCATAATCGAAACCAAACCAGTACACACACTGTAACATTAATTTGTACTTTGCAAAGTATTGTTGGCCTGGTCTGCAAATCTGAGCATTTTCATTGATGTATCTTGCCTTGATTTTGGATTATCTGACTTGATACATTTGCTCTCTTGGATTTGTCTTTTTGAATTTGGTTGACTGATTGGACTGTTTTCTTGGTGTTTGACCCTGAACTGTGTTGCTTGGGTTTAGACTACAAATAAATCTCTGCACATGAATCCCTCTGCTTTCCCTGAGTCTGCTGTGTTACACACACACACACACACACACACTTAAGGTGAATAAGTCTAATTTATCATTATATCTCATAATCTCTGATCATCAGATCTAGTTTTGACTCTGATTCAAAAAGTTAAATCCCCTAATCAATCTCTAGGAGATAACTGGCCTTATTCTGCATCTTGAACATTATGAATGATTTTGCCTCACTCAGACTCTCAGCCTCAGCCATGCTATAGTAATAATACTCGGTCACACTTCATTTTAAGGTCCAGTTCACACTATTAGCTAACTATTAACTACGATTTTTGCCTTAATAAACTCCTAATTACTGCTTATTAATAGTTAATAAGGTAGTTGTTAAGTGTAGGTATTGGGTAGGATTAGGGATGTAGAATATGGTCATGCAGAATATGTTCTTAATAAGTACTAATAAACAGCCAATATGTTAATAATAGGCATGCTAATAAGCAACTAGTTAATAGTGAGAACTGGTCCCATATACTAAAGTGTTACTGAATGATCTTAGGAAAGTCTGCAGAAACACTGAACACATGAAGAAACTGCAAATACCCTATAAAAAGTTAGGAGATTCTCTCAGTAATTAGCAGCATGTGGTAAAAGCTGCAGGAACATAATATTTCTCAGATTGAATTAATAGAAATGCACATTGCCAAAAGTTCTGTTTAGTACCATTAGCAAGGTGCAACAACCAGCTACTTCACTTTACCTCTAATGCATGTGAAGATCTTTTACACCTCTTATTTAGAGCCGTTCACAGCACAGAGGCTGCTGTGTTAAAAGTGTAAATTATTTATTAGCAGTTGATGAATCTGGGCTCTCTGTACTTTTAATAGCGTTAGAGGATCTCATATTCTACATTGTTGATCACCAATGAGATCACCAGTAACCCTACAGTTCTTGTGGCTTAATAGCTCTTTATTGTTTATAGCTACACATGAGTTGGTGGAAGTCCCCATTAATTCAACTTCTGGAAACCACCAAATTAAAAGGAAATCTTTGTTTCTCATGAGGTCTGAACCTGTAGGTGTTAGTTGTTACATCAATATGTAACCTCTTGTGGAACACAAAGTGTTTAAATCCAGTATTACTGGACAAGCAAGCATTTCTTCAGACATGATTACAACAGGCACTACCCAGTTACGGTTATGCACATGGACTTCCATCACGGTCCATCCCAGGGGTTGTACATCTGTCAAGTACAATGGTCCTTCTTCCCATCTGTCATCAGTGATTTCTGGGTTCCAAGCCAGTACCTATGGAGGGAATGAGACATACAGTATATGCAGAATTTCTTATGCTTTCATTTTTTCCTTGAACTCAGTTACGAATTATCTTGGCCAATCCATCAACAGAGATGGTAAGAAGCTGGTCTTTATGTTGGAGCCCCCCCCGCACCCCTCCTCTCCTCCACCACCTTCAAGAATAAATAAAAAGCGCTTGAAACAAATATGATTCCTTATAGATTTTACACCCTGACTTACATTACTTACATTCGTTTTAGTAACAGTATTCTAGTTCCTTTCAATAAAATGATCATAATTAATAACTGTGCATTTGAATTGAACAAGCACTGATTAGCACTGATTTCAATTAAAATATACTGTTGACAAACATATGATGAGAAAAATATATCACATGTCCTAAGAAACTTGTATGACTTCCCATGGAACTAAAGAGTTAACAAAATGGAAATGCATGGTGAATGTTAGGGGTGCTCCGATCAGGATTTTTGAGGCCGATCACAGAAAGCAGT